GATCAGACTCAGGGTTCTCACCCTTTTATTTTACATGCTGGCAGTTCTCTGCTTTTGAACATAATGCATTCCTGAAAAAGTACAAAAATCAAGCAACAGGCTTAGATGGGAGGAGAGGGGCTTTGTTCCCAGCAAGAACACATACATTTCAAATTCCAATTTTACATTATCTTGGACTCAATCTTTCATGATTTATGTTTCCTTCAACTGGTTTAAGCCCAATAAAGATCCAATTGAGGCTTAACATCCATACATTTTTCACATGTAATAACATTCTGATTTGTTTGTGAGGAATTTACTTTTCATCGATACGGCTGGTACTTTCATGCATTCACTGCCACCTTTGTAAGGTAATGAATGGAATAAAATAGTGCAGAATAGTATGACATATGGGGTACGCTTACCAGATCAAATTTCTGGTTGGCAGATAGTAAGTATCACCTTGTTTGTTCACCAGCTGATAAACAAAAACCCACAACTAGTATAAAAGAGTGATTTCAATGTATCAATGTATGAGGATATAAAAGAATGCATCGTGGGTTGAATACAAAGAGGATCACCTGTTTTGTACTTCTTCAAAAAAAAATCTGCTTGAATAAATGGTTCTTCCACTTCCTTAAAAATATTTTAAAGCCACTGAAAATTATAAAATCGCAATTGGTACACAGGAATTCTGAGATCCAGGGAATGTAAATGATGTGTTCAAGGTCACATGTTTATACTTTCAAATATTCATTTAAAAATATATAAGTAGGCATCAGTTAAATTCACAAGGTTGATTTTAATTAGAAAAGTATCTGTAGTACAACAATTTAAAACCTTGGTCTTAACAACAAAAAAAATTTTATGTTGCAATAAAATGAACTCATACCTTTTCTCTGCTGCTGCCACGTTTACTGAATCCATTATGTCTTTCACAGTATCTAGTATCTGTTTAGCTCTGATAGTGTGCTGTTCAAACTTTGTTTTCACTGCTGACTGCGAGATACACTCCTGCGAGGGGCCCAAGCCATAACACATTACTGTAATTCCATCCTAACATTTTCAGGAATTTAGACACAAAAACTTGCTGTTTTTAACTTTAACCAGAACAAAAATAAGGATAGAAAATAAACACATGATAAACACAACTTAAAATTACAAAGGTTAAAAAAAATTACAAAGATTCAAAAGTAAAAAGGGCTTTAACAGCAAGTTCATATCTTTGTGTATTTTTACACAGTAATGTGCAATGGTTTTACTACAACATTAAAAAATAAAAAACAAATAGGGCACTGTATTTCAATGTTTAAAAAGCTTCCCTCATTAGAATTACTAATTTTATCTAGATCATCTTTAATCTAATTATAGTCTATCTATCTTGCTTTTTCTCACTTATAATAGATAACTTAATAAAGTTCTTAAATTAGTTGTGAATTAGAATTCTACCTTATTTTTAAAAATTAGTTGAATGATATGATTCACATAAGGTTATTAAAAAGGATTTCTATGTATTGAAATGTGAACAATTTGAAAAATAATCTTTAACAATCCAAGTAATATTTTAAATTGTTTACAGAAAACTATTTGCAGCTACTTCAAACATAATCCTGTTATTCTCATTACATGGTGCATGCACATAGGCCTGAATGATGTCCTAAGTTGTTTCACCTTCAAGCTAACTGCAGCTCACACTCATCAATAGTTGTACAAATCAATTATTGTTTCATAACTAGTATTTACTGAAATAGAATACATCAGAATGCATTACACATATCAATGGGTACATTTATCTTCTGAAATTTGTTTCAATTTTCAATATATACAATACTACTTGTTATCTAAGAGAAATGTAGGAGACATTATTTTCCATAATAAATTTTTTAAAAATTAGGGATATACGAATTCTCTGACGGTTCTTTAAATTCTCTTTGTTGAACCTCTTTATACATTTACCCAAACTGTGGTAACTGCTTGCTGAAGTTTATTACTGTCCTTCCTTTGTCAAAATAAATAGCTTTCAGGCTTTAAAAGGTATTCACTTAATAACCTAGCACTACATTTGTTATCCTGAAATTTTTAGTATACGTTCATTCAAATGTACTATCTATAACCTATGCTTAGCCTTCATGTCTCTAGAATTATTTGTGCACTTCACTCAGATAGAAAGACTATAATATCTTTTCCCATTCTAGCTCCCCTCTTCAGGATTTTGAAGCACAGAAAACAAAATATAGTGACTTCTTTAGCTATAGAGCATATGAGAGTAATTCATTTAGTCAATGGTTTAACTCAGAGCTCATTACTTTCTCAAATTGCCTAGCTTCATTTTGCTCATGGTTAAGCTTATTTTCACTAATCTTGAAGATTAGTGGTAGGAAGTTACAGTATTCCTGCTCTGTACACACCGAAACCAAAGATAAAACATTCCTACATGCTTTCTTCTTTAAAA